GTCCCAGCTCCCACCTAGTGTCACCGAAGCACGTGGGCCGGCGGGGGCCCGGGGAGCGCGCCCTGGGCGGGGCTGACAGGACAGGGCCGAATCTCAGGAAGGACAGCCCAGACCTTCACAGGGTCCAGCAGGCAGGGCTGGGCTGTCTGTGCTGGAGGCCAGAGCTGCCCCCGGGTCGGTCCCAGGCTGGGGAGCAGACGCCTGAGGGACGGTGCCAGGGGGTCGGTGAGGGGCTGGCCAGGAAGCCCCCACTGGGCCGCGACTCGCGTCAGAGTGACCAGGCCTACCTGTGTGGGAGACGGGCGGCGTGAGGGCTCTGTGCGGAGCCTGCGGCCCAGAGGCATGGCCGTCCTGCTAGGCCTCAGAGCAGCCCAGGGCTGGATGGGCATCTCCCCTGGGGGCCCCCAGGCTTCACTGGGTGGGGTAAGTGCAGACCATGTCTGCTCCCTCCTCCACCCCAGCTTTGACCACTGAGCCCGCCCTCTGCTTCCACCCCCTCTGGGGGTGGAGGTACGGCTGTGGCGGGGCGCGGGGCGGGGGCGGGGAGGGGGGTGTCCTTGCAGGATCCCGCCAGCCCTGGGGGGCCACGGCAGGTCAGCTCTGCCGTTGGGTAACCAAGTGTTCCTGAGCTACAGACGGCCCTCCATCAGCATATCCAGCCATGGCCCTGGGCAAATACTTCCCCAGAGACACTGTCATGAGGCCTAAAAATAACCCCCAAACCCAAGGACTGTGCATTACCCAGGCCCCCCAGGAGAGCTTCCCCCAGGCCTGGGTAGCCGTGTGGGGCTAGGACCACGGTGAGGCCAGCATAGGGCACAGAGGACGCCCCTGGCCAACAGGTCCCACCCTAGCCCCCTGCACCCCGCCAAGCCCTTCCATGTGCCCCCTGGATGTGGCAAGGGCTCTATTGAGCGCCCTGGTCTTGGGACACCTGGAAGGTTCTCACACCTCACGCTGGTGCCAGGTGTGGGGTGGGGTCCATGTCCCGGCTTTTCCCAGCCCAGCCAGGGTGCCCAGCTCCCTGAACGGGCCTGGCCCTGTGGGAGTCCCTCTGTCCGTAGCCCGCCTCCCACCGCCCCTGCCCGCAGGACAGCCCTGTGGCTGTACGGCTTGGCCCCTGCCCTGCGCCTGCTCGTGAGCACTTGCCGCACAGCCTGGCCGTCCCTGCGGGCCCTCAACCCCGGGCTCTGAGCCCAGGCCAAGGCTGTGCTGCCCTCGCCCTGGGTGCTGCCTGCATGCCCCGTGTCCCTGACCCTCTTCTGCGTCCCACATCCTGCATTCCTGTCCCAGTTCCCCGGCCCGACCCCAGGACGGGGCTCTGATCTCCTGCCAGGCCGTCCCGACCCAAGTCCTGTGAGGGCGGGGTTGTCCCCCTGCCCCCTCACTCTCATCAGCCTGAGCGGCCCCCCCCAGGACAGCTGTGGGATGAGCCTCCCCTTTGAAGCCAGGATGGCCGGGAAGCGTGCAGGGTCGGGGGGGGGGACCTGCCCTTTCAAGTGCTCCGGGCTTCACGGGACCGGCTTATCACCACACGGGGACAGATCAGAGGGAAGAGTGCTGGCCCCGCTCAGTACTTGGGGTTCCATCCACCCGGCACACCACACCCCCACCCAGGATGCCAGGAGCGTCCTCCTGAAACGGCCTGTCACAAGTCCCTGTCCAGCCTGTCCTGGGGTCACTCTGAGGACGCTGCTGGGTCCCTCCCCTCTGTCTCCAAACTGGGCGCTCCCAGGGCAGGGCCCAGGCCCCACCCTGCAGAGAGCCCCACAGAGCTGGGGGCACCAGGTGTTGTCTTCTTGTTGGTGGTCCCCGTCTCTTTGGTGGCGGCTCACTGGCCTTTCTGCCCAGGCAGGGGTGAAAATGGAGGGGCAGGGGAAGCCCACCTCCCCACCCACCCCTCCTCTCTGTCCCTAGGCCCATCCTGGGTGGGGGACCTTGCCCTTAACACCAGCTGAGTCTTGTCCCTCTGAATCAGACCTGGGAGTCCCCGAGGGGGGACCGGGCACCCATGGAGACAGAGGTGTGGGCTCAGGTGCAGGGGGGGAGTGGGCAGAATGGCCAGGGCCCACGAGAAACTCCACTGCCAGTCAGTTGGCAAACGTCTGTTTGATGAGGCCCTGGGACCCTCGGGCCTGGGAGGCTGGGGTGGGGGGGCTCCCTGTCTTTCACAGCCCCTGCACCCGGACCAGCATCTACTCTCCTGTCTCACCCCTCCCCCACGCCCTGGACCCAGCCGTCTGTCCCCTCTGCCAGCCCCACATGTGGGGTGCAGGAAACGGGATTCTGTCCTGGGAGTGTGGGGCACAGTGGGGGAGGGCTCAACATGAGACCTTGCACAGGAGCCAGGGTCAAGGGGTATCCAGGTGGACACAAATCTCCCAGGAGTCACGCAGCATATAGAGCTGGAGACAGCCCAGCGAGAGCAGAGGTAGAGCATGCAGCCAAGGGAGAAGGGTCTGGAAGCAGCAGGTGGCCCCTGAGAAGGGCACAGAGAGGGGTCTGGACCCACGTGACAGTCTCTAGAGCAGGAAGCTGAAGTCGTTGTGGGTCAGGCTGCGGCTGAGGACCCTGAGCCCCAAGTGTGGTAATGAAGGCATAGAGCTTTGGGGGGACCAGACACGGTCCACACGTGTTCAGAGTCACCAGTCCCTCAGTGCCTGCCTCCCCTCAGAACACCTGAAGGGGTCTAGGGGGTGTGGCCCCCAGGGCTGTTGGCCTCAGCGAGAGCCAGGACCGAGGGCCTGCCAGGTCTGTCTTGGCCCTGAGAGAGGAACCATCAGAACTCAGAAGGGGCAGAAGACAAGGGCAGTTCCCATGTGAACCCCAGGCAGACACCCCGGACCTCGGCTGGGAAGAGCACAGGCACCTCTGCAGGTCTGGGGGGAGAGGTGGGCTGTACCCTCTCAGGTGCAGCTGGGGACTGCTCCAACCCCAGGGACTATGGATGTCCTGTAGCCGAAGTTCTCCCCACCACCCAAGGCTGACTCTTTCCAGCCCTCCCCCACCTCAGGCCGAAACGCATCCAGGCACCAGCCCCCACAGCCTGTCCTGTCTGGGGAACATCTGCTGGTCACCAGCTGTGGTTGCCTGAAGCCCCCACAGCTCCCCCTGGTTGCTCCAGCAGAGCTCCCACACCTGGCTTCCCATGACGTCCACTGAAGGTGGCCTCCATCACCCAGAGGTCACCAGCCCTGCCCAGGCTCGGTCACTGCCTGTGGGATCAGGATCACCCCGGTGGGCCTTCCCTCAGGGCTAGCCCTTGGCTCCCTGGGGACAGAAAGACTGGGGTCCATCCTGGAGAGGCCAGGGGGCCCAGAGGAAGAGGGCCAGAGGCTGGGGCCTAGTCCCAGGACACCAGAAGAGAGGGTCCCCAGACCTGCCCTCAGCTGGGGAAAAGGGAGACGGGGGAAGCTTGGCCCTGACCTTGGGGAGTTCTGGCTGCAGGGAACCAGCGGTACCAGGTAGGAGGGTCAGTTGCCCCGGCCTGTACGGCTGGGCAGGACCGATCCTTGCTCCTTACGGTGCCCTGCCCCGTCAGCCAGACTTCTGAGACTCTGGGGACCTCACACAGGTGGCTTTGCTAAAATCACATTATCTTAGTGCCTTTTCTTAAGAAGCAACAAGTCCCAGCCTCAGTGTCCCCAGCTGGAGACTGAGACCATTGTTCATAACCTGGTAATGGCTGGCAGACTTGGGACTGTGCCCTTCAGGCAGCAGGCACCAGGACGGAGGTGACAACAAGGCCCCAGCCCTCCAAGGCCATCAGCGGAACCCCCAGAGTGTGGCCAGGGAAACCACAGCCCTGCACTGAGGGCCATGGGGGCCATACTGGTAGGGAGGGGGTTACCCACTGGGCCAGGTGTGCAGGACTCTAGCTAGCTAGGGAGGTGCCTGCAGGTGCGTGAGTCAGTCAGTGCTCCAAATATGGCTACCTGAGTTCAGTTCAGGGGAGCTGATGAGGCCCTGGGACCCCAAGGTGTCAGCCCCAGAACCTCGGGCCAATGACAGGACTGCTGGAGCCCAAGCCTGGCACACAGACTCAGGCCCGCGCACACACACACCTGTACAGACTCAGGCCCGCACACGTGCACATGCACAGAAGCCAAAGGCAGAAACACCAGCTTAATGGAAGAAGATGCACATTTTCTTGTTTAACAAAATAAATTAAATATACGAAGCTTCAGCTCAAACTCTATATAAAATTACAGAGGTCTGGGGCTGCCACAGGCAGTGGGGTGATGGGTCCCTGGCCCCAGGGTGGCCATCCGGTTGGCCAGCAGGCCAGGTGCGTCCCAGGCCTGAGGACAGGCCTGGTCTGCGGTGCCACCTTCCTTCCAGCATTATTAATATTATTATTTTCATTTCTTAAATATAAATATCAAGGGCCCTTCTCTCTGGCAGTGGGAGGCTGGATGGGGCAGGGTCACCCCCAGGCGGCTCCCGCCTCTCAGAACAGGGGCCTGGACTGCTCTGCCTGACCTCCCAGCCCAAGGGATTGGGGGACTCCTGGACGCCCAGACAGGGGGTGGCAAACATAGCCATACGCCCGTGGAGGCCTGGGCAGGGACACGGAGGCCAGCATGGGACAGGGGTCGGGGGGTTTTGGTTTGCAAAGCCAGGGTGCCTCTCAGACCTCCTGCCAGGCATGGGGAGGGGCGGCTTTGGCCCCTGTGAAATCCTCCTCACAGGAGCCAAGGGATTCCTTCATCAACTAGCCCGCTGCTACATGCACACTGCAAAGTTACAAACACAGACCTTCCCCAGGGCGTTTTAGTCTGAGGGTGTGTGTGTGTGTGTGTGTGTGTGTGTGTGTCCAGAGGTATGTCGTACACGTGTGTGCATCATCCAGGGCGCCCGGGGTGCTGACTGTGCCTCCTGTCTGGGCTCCACTCTCTCCGCAGCCCTCTGCCCCAAGCCCGCCCGCCCACCCGACCCCCACGTGCCCCTCCCCAGCACCCAGAGCGCAAGTGGGCCGGCGCCCCGCGCGGCCACACCATCTAGCACTGGTAGTGGATGTGCTGGTGCTGGTGGATCTTGCCCTCCACGTGAGAGTGTGTGTGTGAGTGTGTGTGTGTGTGCGTGTGCGTGTGCACATCTGTGTAGAGTTTGGGGTAAAGTCTGGGCCCAGCAGATGGGCCCGGGCCCAGCAGGTGCTGGGGAGCTGCCGGAGGCCCAAGCTCCTCACACAGCCCCAGGCCAGGGGCGGTGCTGAGGCTGGCTGGCACGGGAAGGTCCTTGTCCCCGCCACGGTCGCGGGAGGCCACGGGCGGGCGGTGCGCAGGCATGGGGGGGGCGGGCCCAGGTGCACACGGCTTCTTCTTGGCCTGGCAGAGCCACAGGAGCACGGTGCCAAGGATGAAGACGGCACCGGCCGGGATGCCGATGACCACGGGCCACGGCAAGCTAGTGGTCGAGGACGAGGGGGCCACGGGTGGGCCTGGAGGCTTGGGGTCTGCAAGAGAGGCCCAGGAAGGGGGTGGGAGAGGAATGTTGCCATGGGTCCCCGGAAAGGCTGCGAGAGGCCGGCGTGTGGCCTCGCGGGGCCAGGGCTGGGGGCGGGGGGGCACACACACCTGGCAGCACGGTGAGGAAAGCGCTGCGGAAACTGTAGCCCATGGTGTTGGCCCCCAGGCAGATGTACATGCCGGCGTCGTCCTGGCGCGCGCGGGTGATGAGCAGCTTGTTGAGGTAGGAGCCGTCGGGCCTCGACCACACATCGCCGGTGGGCAGCACCACGAACTTCTGGCCGCCCACGTCGATGGTGGAGTTGTAGCGGCCCTCGGTGCCGTATTCCACGCGCTTCAGCCACTGGATCACTGGCTTCACATCACTGCGCACTTTGCACTGAAAGGACGTGGTGCCCCCAAAGTCCACGGTCGTGTTCACGGGGTGCGTGCCCGTGAGGACGGGCTTGGAGCGTGTCCGCTCTGCACGGGGACATGGACGTTAGCGCCACCCCTGGGCACCGCCAGCCCCCCACGGTCCCACAGCCCCAGCACTCACGGATCACGTCCACCTTGTAGGTTGCGTTGATGGCGCCTGCGCGGTTGGACACGCGACACGTGTACTTGCCACTGTCCTCGGGACGCAGGTTCTTCAGGCTCAGGGTCCACTTCTTCTTCCTGTGCTCCCCGGCCTCCAAGCCTGTCAAGGCCTGGTCGTCCTTCATCCACATGATGTCGGGCCGCGGGTGCCCACTGGCCACGCACTTGAGCCGCACGGAGCTGCCCACTGGCCGGGCGATCACCCGGCGCCTCATTTTGGAGGGCTGTGTGAAGCGGGGCCGCGCTGCAGGGCGGCCAGCACAGAGGTCAGCACAGCACCGGGGCGTGGGGGGGCAGTCCCCACCCGCACCCACGGAGGAGGGTCTCACCCCACTGCTTGCTGGCTGCGTCCTCCTGGCCCCCGGAGGAGCCGTCCTGCCCCAGGCGCTCCCTTCCTGCACCAGGGTCATCTGCAGAGAGGAGGGCACATGAGAGAGGCCCCAGCAGTCCCCTAACCCTAACCCCAGGCTGGTTCCCGGGCCCCAGCCTTGGGCCCAGCTGGGAAAGCTCTAGAAACACAAATGGGAGCCCCTGGAGGCACGCCCACATCTCAGAATCCCAGAGACAGCCGGGCAAGAGCTGCCTGCCCAGCCTACTCCCTGGGTGCAGGTGACCCCAACAGAGCTGCCCCCCCCGGCCCCGGGGGGTCTGCAGGGCCGGTGGGAGGAGGGGGCCAGGCCCGCCCGGCAGCTGCAGTAACCCTAGCCCACATCAAGGAGCCGAGGCCTTGGTGAGCTGACATGGCTCGCATACCGCCTCGTCATCCTCCCCTTTCAAAGGACAGTGGGGGGGACACCAGCAGTGTTCCCATCCCACAATCCGGAGCAGGGGGCCCAGCGGGGGTGGGGCAGGCTGAGGAATGCCCCTCCTGGGACAGCCGCCTCCACCCAGCCAGGGACCGAGGGAGGGGGTGGCACAGGTCAAGCGCTCCTGCTTTGAGAGATGGGCCACCATGACCGCCAGGGAGCCCCACCCCCAGGGACCCACCCGGGGAGCCCATGGGGGAGGGCCAGGCGTGCAGAGGGTGTGTCACTGGGGACCCCGCCAGTCCCCAAGCCCGGGCCCCAGAGGCAGAACAGAACAGAAGGCCCTTGGCGGCCCCTCTGAACTCTGAAATCCGAGCCTCAAAGTTAGAGCCGACGCCAAGGCCGCCAGCTTGCCCGGCCGGCCCTTTAGTGGGACCACCACCCTGGTGCTCCCCGTGCCCACTCCTGCTGCCCCCTAGCCAGCCTTGGTCTCCCTGTCAGCAGAGCTTGGGGACCCCAAGGCACAGGCCTGGGGGCGGTGCTCAGGCCGGGGTGGTGACCACAGAGGTCAGGCCCTGTCCTGGGCTCAGAGGAGGCCGGCAGGTGGGTGTCCTCCTGGCAGCAGTGGGGAGGGAAGGTCCACTCCCCAGGCTGCATGGACTCAGGGCCCACATGGCACAGCCCCGGCGTGGCCATCACTGACCCATCACGATGAGGGTGTAGTTGACGCTGAGGCTGCCAAAGCCATTGGTAGCCTTGCACACGTAGGCGCCGGCGTCTTCCCGCTCCACCTCCTTCACCTTCAGGCCCTGGGGCAGCACACGGAAGCGGCTCCAGCCGCCATGGATTGTGCGGCCATCCTTGGTCCACATGGTTAGTGGCGGCGGGTCGCCCTCCACAGGGCACTGCAGCCGCACGGTGCGACCCAGCCGGGCCACCTGCCTTGGAACCACCTTGTCCGCCATCCTCGGGGGACCTGCGGGCAGGTCAGAGGGCTCAGTCAGGGAGGAGGGGGCGGCAGGTGGTCAGGAGTGCAGGCAGGCATGCATGCCGGGAGCCAGGGGAGGGGGGTGTCTCCGTCGGGTCCCCACCTGGGACTCCACGCACATACACCTGCCCAGCCCAGGCAGTGGGGTCTGGAGCACAGGGCCCTGCTCCCAGACTGTGGTGGTCAGCATTCACCCGGAACCCGCTGCCCGCCGGGCACCCCAACTCCCTGTACGTGCCGTCACAGAGGAGCCGGGATACAGATGGGCTGGAGCGGCTCAGCCAGGATGCACGTCTGCAGGCGAGCCAGGACAGCCCCCACGGCCTCCCGTAGGCAAGGCGCACGGGAGGGAGTCCATGCAGCACCAACAGACATGTCTGGTGGCCCATGTCTGTGGCGCTCTGCGTCTGCCCGGCCGAGGGCCTCCCCGATGCCAGCCTCAGCGCACCAGGAGGCTGGGCGGAGTGGTATGGTGGTCCGGCAGGACCCCGAGGCCCTGGGGCCAGAGGGCGAGCAGCGAGGTTTCCGTCCGGCTGGCAGCCCCCCTGCCCGTTGTCCCCTGACGGGAGAAGCCCAAGTCCCCGGTGGGAAGAAACCCACTCCCAGCCATGTCAGGCCACAGCCAGCATCAGTGCCTCTGTGGTGCAGGGACAGCGGGCACGCCCAGCCGCTGGGAAGGACACTGCAGGTGTCCGAGAGAGGTGGGGCCGCCTCCTGGCCCACACCGCAGCTCCTGCACCATGGGGTGACCACAGGGGCGCTGAGCTCTTACACTCACCCCACCCACATACCCTCAGACCAGGAGAGGCGGCTCCGGGCACCCCACTGCCCTTCCCAGGGGCCTGGCTGGGCCCAGCTCCCAAGACCCTGCCCTCCGGTTGTTGGCCGGGGGCACTCACCCCACAGTGCGACCACTCAGGCCAGGAGGGCCAGCATCCCGCGTCCTGGCCTCCCGGAGGCGCCGGGCGGTGGCTGCTGGGAGATGCTGTCACTACGGGGCCTGAGGGCAGCACGTGTCCCTAATAACCAGCCGGTATTTCTTCAGCGCGTGATCACCAGCTGCTCTGTGGCTGGCCTTTGCCTCCAGGACCCAGAGTGCTTCCGCAGGCTCTTTGGAGCCTCGCCCCCTCCCACCCCCAGGGGACCCTTGCAGAGCACAGCCCCGCACCACTGGTCTGCAGGCGCTGACGGAAGGTGGGGCCAGTCCCCATTTGGATGCAGGGAGCCGACAGCCCAGAGTCCAGGCAGGGAGGGGGGCCCAGCTTTGCTGGGGGGACAGGGAAGTGGGGGACACGGCAACACCAGGCCCTTCCATGACCACAAGCAAAAAGCAAAAAGGGAGCTAGAGGTTGTGGGGGAGGGCCCTACCCAGCCCCTGCCTGCTCTCCCGCCCTGCCCCACAGAGGCCACCCCTAGGAACGCTTCTTCTCTGCACCCATATTCTGCCTCTGCTAGGGTCCCCCCCACCCCTGCCATGGGGCTCCTAACATGGGCCCCAGGCCATCCCTGCACTACCAGCCAGCCACCTCCTCACCAGCCAGCCCCCAGTGCCCCAGGAAGGGGCTGCTGAGATCTACTGCTCCCTAATTTCTCAATTGCATATGGGGCCCCCAGACACCCCCCAATTTGCAGGGGGACAGGTTGCAGGGCCCACAGACAAGTGGGTCTCCTGAGGCCCCCGGCGTGCAGGGTCCCGGCCTCACTCCCAGGCAGCCACCGTCCGACACCTGTCTCTGCCTGCAATCCCACTATTCAGAGGGGCCGCCCCCCCCAGCCTGCCCAGTGCCTCCGAGGTTGACACCTGCGTGTGCACACAGACCCAAAAAACCGCCTGGCAGGTGCCAGGGGCTAGCACGGGGTCCCTCTTTCCCAGGGCTTTGCCTGTCCCAACCCCACCCTGGCCAGCACAGCCCCCGCCCCGGAAGAAGCCTGCGTCAGGGACAGACAGAGGACCCATCGGACAGTGCTTGCGGGTGCAGGAGGGGCAGGAGGGGCACCCCCAGCCCCGCCCCCTCCCTGCACCAGGCAGGCGAGTTTGAGGAGCTGGGGGGGCGGGGGGGGGCATCTACTGGGCCTCAGAGGCCACTGTGGAGGAGAGAGGAGGACAGAGCCAAGTGACCACCAGATGGACCGGAAGTATGGCCCGGAGGGCCGGCCGGCACGCAGTACAGGGGACAGGCAGGCGGCAGCCAGAGGCCCCAGCCGGAGCCAGCCTTATCCTAAAGCAAACAGCCCCCTCCCCTCCCCCTGGGCCAGGCCTGCCCTGCCCCCTCCACCCCTGCCTCTGCAGAGACCCCAGCAGGCTCACCGGAGGGAGCCCCCCCAGATTCCTGGGGATTTTGGCTGCCAGCTTGGCTGCCACGGCTCTATATTTAGCTTGGGAAACACAAGCCCCCATTGTTCCACCTGGTCAGGTGTCCAACCCACCCAGCCAGAGGCAAACTGAGGCAAGAGCTGAGGCAGCTGGAGGGCGTGCGGGTCGGGGGTGGGGGGCAGCCAGTTTCCCACCAGTTCTGGGGCGGCCCCTGGAGTCCTTCAGCCAGCATCTGCACTTCCCCACGAGCACCTCCTCCAAGAAGCCCTCGACCCTCCACACACCATAAGCCACAGCCTTGGGCAGTTCTGGGCATGGGCAGCGTGTGGACAGCCACATGGAGGGGGCAGACATGGGGGCAAACGGAGGCCGGGGCTGGGTCTCACCCCTCAACGGGGCTGAGCATCAAGGTGGTGGCAGAGAGAGGGTCACCACACCCCCTTTCCTCCCTCCCTCCTTCCCGCCCTCCTCCCCAACAGCTGTGAAAACATGGCCAGGAGTGGAGGTGCCAGGAGGGCTCAGGGGGCAGCAACCCGGAAGACCCCACATATCCAGCCTACACAGCCAGGCTTCCCAGCCGCCATCCAGAACTCAGGTGTCACACATACACCCTATCATGCCATCTCCCAGACACTGTCCCCCAGACACACGGGCTGTCCCCCACTGTCCCCCAGACACACAGGTTGTCTCCCAGACACTGTCCCCCAGATGCACCCACTCTACCCACAGACAGTCCCCCAGGTACATGCACATACAGAGAGACATACCCCAACAGTGGATGCAGACTCCCCACACCAGAGACCCCCTTGCCCTACCTGCTGAGAGCACCATTTCCCAAGGTTTAGCAAAACAAGGTTCCACTGGAACCTCAGCTAATGTCCCTCCCACCCCAGTGGGCCCTAGGAGGGCTGAAGGGGACAGGGCCATGGGGAAGGACGGAGAGGTGACACTGCAGCCTGTCCCATGCAGTTTTCACAGACCCTCCGGGGCCACCTGAAGCTCAGCCCCCCGCACCTCACTAACCCTCATGGCCTCTGCACTGCCCATCCCCTCCCGATACACCTCCCAACACCCGCTCCTCCCTGCCCTCCACCGGGGGCTGCAGTGCCCCTTTTGGGTGAACCACGTCTGAACCACACCCAAGACCCTGCTCTGTTCAGGTCTGTCCACGGCCTGGCTGGGGGGGCATTCCACGTGTCAACTTCTGCCTCCCTCCACTGCCCAAGGCATTCGTGACCTGCTGACCCTGAGCGCCCTTCCCAAGGAGCTGAACCAGGCACTGCCCCTCCCCGGGGCCCCATGTGCCAGGGGCTTCACCCCGTACCAGCCCACGCCGCCCACACTGGGGCCACGGACACAGGTGGAAGTGAGGGGTGCAGGAACCACGTGGCCAGCACATGGGGGCTGGCTCCATTCCCAGTCAACCCTGAGAAGCCCCAGAAATTTCCAGCCCGGAAGGAACCCTCTGGCTGGGGGTAGGTGGTCGTCAGGCTGACCTCGTTGGGACTGGCCGTGAAGTGACTCTGGACGCCAGCCAGGAGCCGCCAGAGCCCTCCCCTCCTGGAGAAGGCAAGTGGCCTGGAAAGAAGACTCAAAGGGCAGTGTGACGGGGCCTGACCAGAGGGCAAAGAGGGGAGGGCCTGCCTAGCCTGGCTGGACACCCTGGACCAGGCAGGGCAGGTGGGCACTCTCTGGGAGAGTGGGGGGGCGGTCCCTGTGCTGATGCCCACGGTGAGCAAACACTGGTGCGGGGGCGGAGCTGGGAAGGCCCAGCCACGGAGGCCCTGGGGCCAATGCCCTCCCCAAGAAGGCCTAGGAGGCAGGGAGGCCAAAAAGAGGGGGCACAGATGAAGACCACCACAGGGCGGCCATGAGAGGCAGGGGTCAGCCTCTGCCCTGGCTCTGAGCCACGCAGGTACATGCGCGCACATGCGCGCGCACACACACACACACAGGCTCCTAGTCACCAGCAGGCCCAGGGCGGCCCCTGGGGGCTGGACCCACGGGATCTGCGATGGAACTGGTAGGACCCGAAAGGCAGGTGGTTGCCCCAGAAACCAGGCCGTTCTGGGTGCAGCAAAGGGACAGCTTGACCCACCGAGCAAGCAAGCTGGCTGGGCTGTCCTGTCCAACCCACTGCCCAGGAACAGCACAACGTAAGGCAACAGGCTGGGTGGGGCCCACTAGGTCCGCCCCCTGCCCGGGAAGCCCCCAGGTGGACCTCCAGCAGAGCCCTGACCAGGGCTCCTCCTCTTTGCCATTCCCAAGGCACACATGGGAGCCACAGAGCGTCCCCTGACATGCTGTTGCCCCGGGGGTCCCCACAAGAACTGTCACAGAACCCACCCAGAGGGCTCAGCTGGACGCCCCGGTGGCTGCATCCAGAGCTTGCCAAGTCTGCCAGACTCCGAGCAGACCCCTGCCCACACCTGCCACCCATCCCCCACCTCACAAAACGTCCTGCACCTAGAACTGGTCCAGCATCACCGGCTCCCCAGAGGGGCCCAGCCCCAGTGCCAGCAAAGGAACCAAGAAGGACCCGGTCCACTGGGCCTCCCTCACATGCTGGCGCTGGACCCAAAGGACAGGGTAACATGACAAGAGGCCCAAACCACCCGAAGGCCTCGCCCGCTGTGGCCTCTAACCTGCATGGCTGGGTGTTTCCTGAGCCTGGGGCCCCGGGGCCAGAGGCTGGCATTTAGGCACCAAGGTGCCACCTTCCTGTGAGGGCTTAGGCGCTGGACAGCCCAACCCACCCGGCAGCCTGGGCAAGTCCCGGGCCACAGAGCCCCGCGCTCCCACCCACACCTGCTCCACCCAGCCCCGGTGTCCACGGCCATCAGCCCACAGCCAGCTTCTTGCGGACAGACCCAAGGGCATGGGTCTTTGGCATGCTGGGACCCCTGAGGTCCCTGAAGCCTGCAGGGTGAGGCTACCCAGCTCAAGGCGCACACAGTACCTGCCGCCGGGCTCCACAGTGAAGCCCGCGGGCCCTGCCAGAATGGGCCGGCCGCTACAGAGTGCAGGGGGCACTGGCCGGTGGCCCTGGCTCTCCTGGGGCTCAGCACGGTGGAGTCGGAGGGGATCACTGCCCAGCGGGGGCCCAGGCCAGAGCTGGGCCCAGCTCCCTCCCCACTGCCTGCTGACCCAGGCCCCATTATTTCTTCACAGTGCAGGGCTTGTGTAAATCTCTAGCAAACTGGGGAAGAAAGCCATTGTTTCCTGCCAAGAAGGGAAGCCCTGGGGGTCAGCAGGCCTGAGGCTGGAGCACTGTCCCTGCCACACTGTCTCCAGCATTTCAGGGACAGTCCTGGAAGCCCCTGCCTCAGGCTGGTTCTCCCCAGGGAGGCCGGGCCATGTGGGACGAAGGGTGTGTAGGGCCCCCCAGGCCCTCCAGCCTCGAGGCCTTGCCCCCAGCCACTCACTGGGGGCAGGAAGCCCGCCCCCAGGACGCCCCCAGCCCCTGCTCCCTGCACCCCAGCCAACCAGCCTCTCGGCCCAGTCCCGGCCTATGCCTACTCATGGCCCCCAATCCAGCTACACCAAGGCACCCGTGGCCCCAGGATGTGCACCCCAGTCAATGTGACCGGCCCACCTCTACCCAGACTATTCCCCCACCTGGAGTCCTTTCCTCTCCTCACCTGACCAGTACCCACATCTCCTCCTGGACTGTGCTGCCTCTCCCCAGGCCTTCACCCCCCTCCCCTAGCCTTCGTGGACTGGGGGCCGCCTCGCTGCGGCTCCAGCCTGAACTCGCCCAGGGCAGTGGTCCCTGCTCTCCTCAGGCCGCAAGAGTAGCCACACTGGACACCCACAGGCCTTGGCCAGGAGCACGTAGTGACCACCACTAGGAAGACGGCAGGCAGACTGGGCGGCAGCACGGGATGCGGCATCTGTGGGATCTGGAGACAGTGGCCTGGGCACACCCTCCCCTCCACGTGCTGATCCTGCCCATGGAGGCTGTCACCTGGACATGCCAGGGCTGCAGTCACTGGGAAGGCACAGAAGGCCAGCCACCAGCAGGGAAACGGCCAGCAGCAAGGCCCCCGGCCTGCAGGACCACGCCTGCCTCCGCGAGCACGGTTAGCACTGCCTGAACCCCAAGCCGGAGGCTGAGGCCACTGCTGGGAAAAACCAACATTTCCCCATGGCACTGGGCGGGGGTTGAAGGCCCATTGATTCCCGCACAATGAAGAAGGAGCCTGCGGTAGGAGTTTCCAGGCCCAGCCAAAGGCGACTTTGTTCATAGCTCCCTCCTCCCCCCAGAGGGGACAGTGATTTATTTTCTCTTCCAGGAGTGGGGCCCGAGACATAAATGGGGCGGCTGGCCTGCATCCCCACCTCACAGCGCCTGGGCCCAGCTCCCGCACATCCACCTCAGCTGGGGGTGCACACTGGGCAGCCGCTGCCCGGAGGGGTTGGGGGGAAGGCCCCCTGCAGCCTGGCCAGAGGCCAAGGTCAGCCAGCACACACGCACACCACGACAGCCCTCCGGCTGAATCACACACACTGGAGGACCCTTCCCAACACAGCCTGCATGGCAAGAAGGCACCATCCCCGTGGAGTGGGGCACCCAGCGGCCAGCACCCAGCCCCGAGGGGGCAGCGCTCGGCCCTACCAGGGCAGGCCAGCAGGGTTCAGAGGACAGGGAGGTGACCTCGAGGGCTGGCTGCTCAGAGACCTGTCCACTGCATCCTCCTTGGAAAAGTTCAAACGGGACAACCCCTTCCACAAGTTCTTCTAAAACTATTTGGGAAGGGTATGTCATTCGGAACCTCTCAAGTTCCCACTGTGAGAAACCCGAATCCTAACTTCCCTCAAATTTGGAAAAAGCTGTTTAAGACAAACCCACCATGATTGTGAAACTTCCAGAAAGGGGAACTTTAAAAACATGATCTGAGTCTAGAGACGCACTGACTCCAGAAAGCATGACGCATGGGGAGGACAGCTTTCAGAAAACAGCCCGGCTCTCTCTGCACCGCTCTGCCCGCCTGAAGGAAGTCGGCGCTCGGTCTGTTCACCCACAAAGCCGGACGCACCGAGTGGCCGTGCCCCTCAAGGCCAGGCCTGAAGCAGAAGCCAGCACGGTTCAGGAGCAGGGGCCCCCAACACCCCACCCCCCAAAGCCACACAGGTCCTTGCCCTTGCAGAGTAGCTCTCAGGTCCCTGCGGCCGCTAGGGCCGTGCACGGCCAGCACGAGGGCTGGGGCTGCAGACCAGGCGCAGTCCCCAGGCCAAGGCGGAGGGGAACAGAGCAGGGTGCGGCCCCTCCAGGGCCCCCTGGCACAGAGGCAGGCCCTGCCGCCCACTGCCATCACTGCCATCCGCCTCTCTGCGGTGGGCTCCAGCCAATGACCAGGCCAGGACAGCAGCCTCCAGAGCTGGCTGAGTAGCCGGAGGACAGGCAGGTGTGGAAATGAGGGGAGTCCAAGCAGATAAAAGAGGAATCAGAATCCAGGCTGCCGGCCACCGGGGGGAGGAGGGGTGCCTTGCTGGGTATGACCTGAGTGCCCGCCATGCCCAGGACACTGCCAGGCCCAGCCACGCCTGGACAGCCCCCACCCTTAAGCCACCGGGCCAGTCCCCAGCCGGGCAGGCGGGGGGGTACTGTGGCATTAGGCCCACCTGGGCTGCCGCCTGCCACCCAACACCCAAACGTGCCCATATAAGGCCGGGTTGGGCTCGGTGTACCCGCTGGGTGGCGGGGGGAGGGGTGCGAAGCCTCAGAGGACTGGTGGACAGGGCAGGGACGTTCCTGAGTGGTCAACACACCCAAAGGGCTGGCCTGGCCAAAGGGCCCGCCTAGCTGAGGAGAAGCCAGTGCAGAATATGGCGGGCGGGAGTCCGTGAACATGTATGTCCCATCATCCGCCAGCCAAGGATGTACCTTGCTGGGGCTGCGTACAGGGGCAAGGGTCCCTCAGGAGACATTCCAGGCCTGCCTACTTGGACATCAGGTGTGTGAGCATGCATCTACGTCCTGGCATGGCACACGCCGACACACAGTATATGCAGGCTGAAGCAGGTGGTCCTCTGGGTGGGCCTTGAGACAAGCCCCTACCCCCTACACCATGCAGCAACTCCATGTTCCCCCAGCCCCTACCCTCTAACTCCCTAGGGATGGGCAAGCGCAGGGCACAGGGCTGGGTCGTGAGTCCCAGACACTAACAATGTCCCCACTGTCCCCAAACCCCATCCTGGCCACCATGGGGGTCTCTGCAGGTTCCCAGGGGCCTAAATGGGTCCACTGTGACAAACAGCCTACCCACCAAAATCCCCAGGGTAACCAGCTGCCCTCAACTTCAGATACATATGGATGTGCATGTGTCCTGAGGGGGACTGGGGCCAGAGCCCATTCTGCCAGCAAGTGTGGGGCCCCACAGGTGAGCCGGGGTGATATTTCAGTGAGAGGGGCCCTGTGGGTGAGGTGTGCTCCCTCAGTGAGCATGGAGTCCCAAGGGTGAGCTGGTGGTGATCTGGGGATGAGCTGTGGGACCCTACAGATGAGCTGGGGAGGGGGATGGTGAGCTAGGGATGCCCTAAGGGTGAGTTGGCGCACCCCATGGGCAAAGGGGGGTGTACCCTGGGGGTGAGCCCGGGGGCCCAGCGGTGAGAAGACCCGCCAAGCTCGGGGCCAGTAGGGGCGGGGCGCAGGCACGCGCGCCAGCCGGGCACTGTGGCAGGGTTCAGGGCCGGGAGGGAAAGGGGCGGCGCTGGCGCAGGCCGGGGCGCCGGGCTGGGCGCCAGGACTCACCTCGGGCGGCGGCGGCCGGCGGGAGGGCCCCCAGCAGCAGCGGGGGCAGCAGCAGCAACAACGTGGGGCTGGGCGTCATCTTGGCCTGTCCGGACCTGGAGGTATTGAGGGTCGGTCACTGGCGTACGGGGTAGGAGTCGCCACCCTCTAGCCTAGGGCGCCGGAGCCGGCTGCGGGGATCGGGGTGCGGGCCGCCCCTCCTTCCCTGCCAGCGCTCCGGGCGGAGGAAGCAGCGGCGGGGAGCACCGTGGGTATCAAAGGCAGACAAAGGGTTTACACTAATTACCGGCCTCCCCCGCCGCCCCCCGTCTCTAAACACCGTCTGGCTTCCTGGCGCTTGTAACTCGGGCCCTGCCCGCGGGACACACAACACCGGCGGCCGCGCAGATAATCGCCTGCGCCATTAGCGGACAAATTTGCGCTTGGGGGGGGGGGGCCCACGTGGGGTGCAGGGGCGGGGGCGGGGCGCGGACAGGACCACTGGCTCCGCAGGGGCGGCGGCGGCGCGTGCCGGTGCCCGGCGGCCTCGCACCCGGCCATCCGGGACTCGGACCCTCCCAGCCCCCGGCCAGATCCCGGACCCCGGACCCCGGTCGTTCCCAGTCGGCCCTCCCAGTCGGCCCCCCGGGGGTCGCGGGCGCGCGGAGGGGCTCACCTCGGCGGGGCAGGCAGGCAGCGGGGCTCAGGGCCGGGCCCGCGGGACGCGCTGCGCGGTCATCGCCGCCCGGGGCGCCTCACCCCGGCGCCCCGCGCCCCCGGGCCCGGCCTCGGGACGGGGCGGCGCTACCTGGGCGCGGGCGGCTCGGGCCAGGACCCGCGCCGAGGCCGGAGTCCGGAGGCAGCGCGGGCGGAGGGGTCGAGTCCAGGGGCTGGAGGCCGGGGCCGGGGCCGGGGTCCCGGGGCGGCGGGGCGAGGGGCCCGGGGCGCCGCGCCGCGAGGCGTCCTTCCCTGCGGGGCTTTGTCAACTCTCCCGGAGCGAGCGCCGAGCCCGCCGCGCGCCCCGCCCCGACACAACTTCCCTCCAATCGGCTCGCCCCGGCTCGCCCCGCGCCCGCCCCGTGCCCGCCCCGCGCCCAAACTTTCCCCCAATCCGCGTGCGCCTGCCCCGCCCGCCGGGCTCTGGGTCTTAACCCTCGCGGTGCGGGCGGCCTGCGGGCGGGGCGGCTCCCTGGGGCGCA